GAGGTTAGACGTTATCTTAGTCGGTTGTATTTCGACCCTACATTTAAGGGTAGCTTTACATCACCATCTAAATTGTACAAAAGTATCAAAGAACTTAGAAACGACATAACATTAAAAATGGTAAAGGATTTTTTGAATGGTGTTGAATCTTACACAATGTATAAACCTGTCAAGAGAAAATTTAAAAGAAGTCCAGTTGATACATTGGGAATTCATTATATGATGGAAGCCGATTTGATAGATTATAGCAAATTAAAATCAGACAATGATAATTTTTCTTACGTTCTCTTGATCATTGACGTTTTCAGTAAATTTGTACATGCGAAACTATTAAAAACCAAAACGGCAAAGGAGACATTTCAAGCCATCAAAAGCATTTTGGATGATTTAGGCGAAGCTAAACACCCCGCCATCTTTAGGTTTGACCTAGGAAAAGAATTTGCCAACAATCTCTTGAAGGTATATTTAGATAAATTAGGAATTAAACAAATCTTCAGTCTGAACGAAACAAAAAGCAACTTTATCGAGAGAGCTATTAAAACAATCTCTGGCCGAGTACACAGATACATGATTGCTCGTCAATCTAATCGTTACGTCGATGTTCTAATGGACATAGTAAATGGTTACAACGAAACATTTCATAGAACTATCGGTAGGGCGCCATCTAGCGTGAATGAAGCCACCCAATACGAAGTTATGCATGAACAGTTGACGAGGCAAGAGCAACGTGAACAACGGGAACGTGTTAAAAACGTAAATGTCAAGAAAGAAAATGTGGCAAAGAAACGAAAATCAAAGGTTGTTTTTAAATTCAAAGTCCACGATTTAGTACGTATATCTACGTTACGACAACCATTTCAGAAGGAGTATCACGCGCGATGGACAGGTGAAATATTCAAAATTAAAAGTAAATATAAGAGGGACGGTGTACCCGTTTATAAATTGATGGATTATAACGACGATGACATAAAAGGCACATTCTATAACGAAGAATTGAATAGGGTGACCACTAAACCGGATCAGTTATTTCAAATAGATCATATTCTTAAATATAAGGGGCGATTACCAAACAACAGATTGGCGTTAGTAAAATGGAAGTTCTGGCCGAAAAAATTCAATTCCTGGGTGAATATTAAGGATATCTCTGAAATTTAAAGACATGGTAATTAAAATGAAATCATTTATACAAAAAAAAATAGGCCCGTCCGGGATTCGACCCCCGAGACCTCTCACATCCAAATTGAGAATCGTACTTCTAGATCAATGAGCCCAAAGATATTCGATAGACTCGCCTCGCACCTGGGTATTTAAGAAGATACCTATACGGGTTAATTTAGTTATGAGTTTGAAACAGACGTACGCACATCTTTCGAGCGATGATTCCTTAATTTATTACGCGGATAACACTCAAAGTAAATTTACCAGCAAGTTACCCAATTACCAAACATTTAAAAAATTAGAAAACTGGACTTGCGGTTTAACCGAAATTTGTCTAGGTAAACATATAAATAAAGGCTTAATATACGTATATTGTAATATAATAGGTGAATCATTAGTAGGACCAACTTCGAGGACGATCCTACGTACTATATCGACATCTAAGACATACTGCCAATTCAAAAATATATATTACTTGGATTTAGGACTAAACAACTTTAACGAGATCAGTATTACCTTGACTTATAAGGACGGTTCACCCGTGGAATTTACGAATAATAGCCCCACAACGTGCGTTTTACATTTTAAAAAGAGATTACATATTTGAGTAAACTTTTCGCCAATCTAATACAAAGGCTATGGATATCTGGACAGATCTGTTCTCAAAACCAGAGAAAAAAATGGTTAAAATTAAAGTAAACAAGGCTCATTACGTTCCTTTGAAAAGTGGTACAACCGACCAAATCGGAAGTGGGGCGCGTGTAACTATGATATCGCCGTCTGAAGCTAGTGTTCAAAGAGCTAGAGCGCGCATGCGTCGTGATAACATCATAGATACAGGCCCCCGGATTAAATCTATAAAACCTACCGTATTTAAAAATAAGACCACACGTACCAAAGGTATCGAAGGGAGTAACACCATATTAAAGAAAAAACGTGGAAAACGTGAAAATAACACGCTCGGTATAAGTACCATATTTGATTAAAAGGGAAAAACAGATAAAACAAAAACAAACAAATAAAAATGGATAACATTATGGACAGTTCTAGCGAGGTTGTGAACGAGCAGTTTATGATTTTCGATTCTCGCGACACGGATGTCAGCACGAAGCAGTTGAAATACGTCAATTTTAGACCGATCAATCTATCAGATGGTAATCCATTAACCTTCGATATAACAAATAACGGAGATCACTACTTAGATTTGAGTAAAACAGTGTTATTCGTCAAGGCAAAAATAACCATGCCGGATGGGAGTCCATTGCCTTTAGATCCAAACGACCCGGCGGCATCTGCACCCAAAGTTACTTGCGCTAATCTTTGGTTACATTCACAGGCCTGTCAACTTGGGAACACATAACATGAGTGACTTGGAAATGTTGAACACCTCCCCTCAAAATGTGGACACCTTGGTCCAAATCTGGACACCTTGATCCAAATTTTAAACACCTTGGTTTAAATTTTATTACATCTTACCAAATTTTGAACACCTCAAATTTTTCGCGCTCGCTACGCTCGCGTTTCAAACATCCGTCAACGGGGGGGGGGGGGGGGGGGGGGGGGGGGGGGGGGGGGGGGGTGGGTACTTAAAATTTCGAACGGAATGCGTGACATATACGTAATTCGCGTGAAAAGTCCGAACGAAATGCGTACATTTTTTTCCGGCGTTCGTATTTTTACTGTGTAGACGATCTTTTTTTAGAAATTTTTCTACAGAAATATTTTTGCGTGACAATTACCAGGTAAAATGCGTATTTGCGTGACATTTTCTGTCACGCAAAAATAACTGGCGTGACTTCAAATTCTTCAGCAAATGCGTGACAAATACGCAAATTGCGGGACAGTTGACAGGCCTGCATTCATTATTCTCGCAAGTGGATGTTCAAATGCAGCAAAAATCAATTTCAACATCGGGACCTTATTACCCGTACACAAGTTATATTCAAACAGTACTAAACACATCAGCGGCAGATATGCAAGGTTACTTATCATCCCAAATGTATTTTAAGGATGAAGCCAGTCTAGGTAACGACCATAACGGGTTTGACTCCAAAAATAATGGATTCCTGAGGAGAATGGCACACACGATCGAGAGTTTGGAGGTCGAAATGGCGGGTCCATTGCACGCTGACATCTTTAAGATTGAAAAATATTTGTTGAATAACATAGATATTCAAGTCAAACTAACACCATCCCCGGCTGCCTTTAACCTAACGGCTAATGATAACGACGTAGCTTATAAGGTTAAGATTACCGACGCATTTCTAAGAATTGCCAAAATTGAGCCGACACCCGGTGTATTGGAAGGTCACGCCCAAACGTTAAAGACGAATCTGGCTCAATATCCGTACATCGGCAGAGAAATGAAAAGTTTAAGTGTGGCCACCGGAAACCGCAATTTTCAAATCGATAATTTATTTCTAGGTAGGGTGCCTCAAACGATATACCTAGTCATGGTCACGGCTCGATCTCAAATGGGCGTGTACAATTTGAATCCTTTCAACTTTCAACATTTCAACTTAGATTATCTAGACGTGTTAGTCGATGGACTAAGCGTGACCAATCCCGTAACATTAGATTACAGAACAGGTGATCTAATGAACAAGTATATAACGTGTTACAACAACTTATTTCCCCAGTTTAACGACCAAAAACGAAACGCGTACATATCCAGAGACGATTTCGCCAACGGAACTACAATTTTAAGATTTGACGTCAATAACATCGGTAGTACGCAAGTTAATTCGATCGAGAGAAGGGGTAATTTATCCATCAATGGTCATTTTCAAAAACCTTTACTAGAACCGATCAACATCCTGATATTAGCGGAGTTTCCCAAAGTTATTCAGATAGACGAGGCTAGGAACATCATAACATAATGAACTCTCTCCAATTAAGGCATATATTAGAATCTACGCCATATTTAAAAACCGCCTACCGTAGGGTCTGCGCCAAAGATGAATTACCGCGGTTTTCTCCGAGTAAATTAGCCGTTTATATTGTTAATACGGCCAAGCATGATCACCCCGGATTACATTGGGTCTTACTCGTATTCAAGATTGACACGTTGGGGCAGAAAACTTGTATGTATTTTGACAGTTTGGGTGGTCATCCTCGAAAATATGGTCTATTTGAATTCATACAAAATAATTCGGATACATTTATATACAATAACTTGAGACTTCAAGATGATGAAAGTACAATCTGTGGCCAATATACATTAGTTGTAATGGATCGTTATATTCGTAGAAATGAAAGCTTACTGGGTATATTGAATGACTATAATATCGAGGATACTTATTACAACGATCTAACCACCATAGATTATTTCAAGACTCACTTTTCTACCAAATCCGCAGTGACTTATGTAGAATGCCAAACCTGCGTTAAACCGAATATTCAGGCTTTAGAAAGTTAATTAGATATAATTGTTTATATTCTATGTATGTTATACAATTGTGTATCGAAATAAAATGGATTAGGTAAAAAATTATATTTGTTCTTTGGTACTAACTTATTAAAAATCATCAATGGCCCGATTGTTTAAATAAAAGACTTTGCAAAACAAATATTTATCATTGTAAGTTCAACCGTCAAAGTCATGACACATAGCCTGGTGCCCTTTAATTCGCCTACCTCTATCGCCATGATAGGAGCGTCTCAATCGGGGAAAACTAACATGTGTTTCAAAATTCTAAAACATAGAGACGCCTTGTTTCAAAATAGTTCGAATTCACCTACCAAAATATTGTTTTGTTACGCAACTTGGCAATCCCTGTACAGCGATATGGAGCTACAATTTAAAGATGAAATCATATTTCACGAAGGACTAGTCGACGAGGAAGACATCTTAAATTTTACAAAAGATATAGCGTTACCAACATTTCTAGTTCTAGATGATTTAATGGCTAGCGTATGTCAAAGTAGAGAGGCCGCCAAAATATTCACGCAATTATGTCATCATAGAAATATGAATGTCCTTTTTCTAACACAAAACGCCTTGTGTCAGGGTCCTAGCGCTAGAAATATTTCATTAAATACGCAGTATTTCATCATTTTCAAAGCAAATCGTGATAAAAGACAACTAAAGTGTTTGGCTGGTCAGATATATCCGGATAAAACGAAATATTTTATGGACAGTTATTTGGACGCCACTTCGGAAAGATACGGTTATATAGTCGTGGATATGTCGCCAGATGGCGTTGATGAATATAGATTACGCACGCGTATATTTCCGGATGAAGACCCTATCATTTATAAACCCAAAAGTTAATTGAACGCGTCAGTATAGATCCAGACGGTTACCTGACAACATATAAAAGACATGTCACGATGTCAGCACTTATTAAAAGGAATAAAAACTTCCTAAATTTTCTTTTGACTAGTACTTTACAGCAAATGAAAGTTTTATTGAGTTCAATTACAGAAACGCAACTTCAAGTTCTGGGTGAAATTGTTCTTAACGTACTTCACGGTAGTCTCCCTATAACGAATTTTTATAAACAAAAATTGAAACGTCATAAACAAGTTTTGCAACACATTGCGACCAAATCCAAAAGTAGGAAGTTCAGAAAGGACTTGATCAAACGTAATACATCAGTTTTGGGTATATTGATTAAATCCATTCATAATTTTATCCAAAAATTGAAGTCATGATCAAATCTGTTTTGATACCTTATGATAAATATATCAGACTCGAAAATTCTACGCGTAAAACTGAGGAGGGTAATAACAAAACCATAGATCAGTCGCTACCTAATACTGATAAAATGGATGGTGGAATAGGTTCACGTAAACCTAGTCATACGAAGCAGGTTGATTCCGGAAGTAATGATGCATCTACGTTTTCCTCGGAAAATAAATTGGATGCCCCATCCGATAGCGACTTTAAGGAAGATACCACGAGTAAACAAAATTATGACGCAGGACTATCAGCCAGTGATGATGATGATGCAATAGGGATGCCTAGGTATACCGATAATACACCTAGGTTCATTTACAAAAGAAGCGCCACATCGCACAAAGTACCAGGTATTCCGGCCAAAGCTCTTAAGAGACCTCGTAAAAACAAAGCAAAATGGCTGCCATTTTAAACACTCTATTAGGACATATTTGAATACAATGATATGAATATCACCCCTGTAGCCGTAAACTTGTTTGTTGGACTAAAGTCAGACTTTGCCTACTTAATTATAGCCATCTCATTTACCATTGTATTTAATTGGACCGATATAAATCAATTAAACTCGAGCAATTCATGTAATCTTCCCAAGTTACTCGGTTCACTTCGTATTTTTGTTTTAATTAAGGAATCGCTAAACAGTATTGAAATCTAGGAAAGGTATTTAAAAAAGATTTTAGGAAATCTGCATATTTATTCAAGACCAGAATTTATTCTATTTGGCGGTATTTTTTAAATTCTGAATGTAATTTTCAAATAAAACAACATAGTTGTCTTAAAGTTTTCTTAAAGAGGTCGGTTTAAATCCTCATTAATGCGGTGTTCAAAAAGCCTCAAATGCTAATTTACTCAATCGAGGTTTGCAATTTCAATGCTAAATCGCAATACACGTGTAAACAATATCATATGATTACATTCCAACGATGTTTAATGTTGAATATGTATACTCGATAAATGTTATATATTTGTATCAATGTAGTGATATCCAACTACCACTAGATGTCAGCATCGTACAGAGTATTTTAATATTTGAAGATGTCACCCTAATCGAATATACACGTGTTTCTAAGTAGATAACATTGCAACTTTGTGTGTAGGTCTGTAATTAATGATTTTGTACAAATGTTGAAACTTTGGAATTAATAAACTCACATCGAATAATCCTAAGGATTTATTATGTTTCACTAAGTTTTAAACAATTAAAGAACAATAAACAAACAAATTAAGGGATTTTCTTATCTAGTTTAATACATTCTTATTTATTTGTCGTATATCTTTTGTACACATTGTATGAATTTTATACGGCTATCATAGGCTCCCTTTGTCTTTCATCCTTAACAATCGGTAATTTGGATCTCGTTATCATTCTAAGCCATAACACATTACCTAAAAATGATATAGCACTAGTTACCACCATTAAATATAAGCCAAACATTATGGTATATTATAGTTTCTCAAAATTCACGTAACTCACCTATGATAACAAAAGTTAAAACACCTCCGGTAAAGCTTAAGGCCATTGGAGTCTCTAGATTTACATCGTAACTACTACTAATATATGGTTTCAGTACGTAATAAGGTGTTACGTTTTCAGTTTCATTAAAGTGTCGAGTAACATTGATGTTTCGACAAATGCAACATGTTGCAATAACGCTCAAAACTAATAATTGACCTATCATGTTCAATAACCTAGGTATGAATGGCTATATTACTTACATTGACGTATATATATCTTTATTTCTACTGCGAGATTTAACTATGGCTTCTGAAATCCCCAGGCTCGAAATAACTACATTCACTACAACTATCAGCATCACTTTTTTCTGCATGACCCGTTATTATACAATGAGGTTCGGTAGGTTGAACGAGGCCATATTTTATGAGGTTGTCCACAAACATCTCAAAGACTTGACGCATCATCACGATACCGTACCGATCAGGCAAATGTTTTCGCGGATCGTCAGAGTAATTATTGATGTGATAACCTTTAAAATATGATAAATGGATACAATAATATTGACAACTTCAATTTTTCTTTTTGATTCTTTTAATTTTTCATTTTATTTTTTTTTATTTTAACATTCCATGATCAGTTACAAATCATTTAAAAACCTTACCTCGTATGTTGACTCTTCGAAATTTAGGATGGACATTGAGACGAAAGTTTCCCCCAAGTAAAATGTCCCACTCTGTTACATCAGTCGTTTTTTTCTTGGCTTCAATCTCCTCAAATTTTGCCGTGACGTGAGGCAAATTGTCGATGAGTCTAGCCATACGATTATGAGTTAGAAATATTCCCGCACTCGTCCCATAGGCATTGCATACATTTGATATGCCTGTGATTGGCCATATTTGGTAATTTCGGATGTCGACCCCATCTTTATTGACGGCTGAGAACATCCCATCGCATATTTTCATTAAAACTAATTTTGGTGTGGAAATTGTCTCTATGAAGTCTCCATTTTTTATGGTTTTAATGTTAGCTGGAACTCGAAATTTTCCGATTGGCATCGTTAGTAATTTAGCATTTAATGTTGTAACAGATAAGTTAATCTGTCTTTATATATACTGGGACTGCTTAACGGCCGTTTCGAACTTGGTAATCGAAGTTGGGTTTATGAGTTTGATTATTCCTTTTTTACGACTTACAGCTGTCAACCATCTCATCAAATTGCTAGGATTGTACCGTAAGTGCGGGCTGAAGCTAGATTATAAATTCATGATAAACAATCCATCAATGTTAATGAGACATTTATTGCCCATTAACCCATGTTATTAAACCCATAGAGGCTAATACGTACCGAGTCACGTGGCTTATAAATTGACCAATCACAGCGAGGTCACGTGATTAAAATTGACCAATCAGAGCGCTTATATTTGACCTCTGCCGAACACTTCCGGGTCGCTGTGCCTATTAGACTACTTATTGGAAATTTACTCCAGAAACTTTCTATTCTCTGGTTTGCAGTTGATTTTCCATACAGAAATGCAACTTTACATGAACAGTCATCATTTACAGAGCGTAGAACAGTTTGAAGCAGTTCAACCTTGACATTCTCAGTCCCCCGATCTGCGCGAACAATCTTTGGAATACCATTTACATTTTTAACACAATCGCAAAAGTATTTGCAAATTAACATAGAGTTTTTATTTGAAGATCCTGCTTTGAGCCACAATATTCTTCTACTGAATCCATCCAAGCATCCATGGACAGTTAAACCATATGGAGTTAGTTTATCCCAGCCATCAATATGCCATATATAGTTGCTCCCTTCAGATGTATATTGTCGCCTTTGTAAGCGTCTCGTTGATCGTTTGTGTACACCTTCTGGGTCAAGAACTGAGAGCAAACGGCGAATTGTTTCATGATCTGTTTTCAGCCTGCAATTCACAAAAGCTGTCATACTTTATTTTATGCCAGAAAAAGGGGAGATAAAATAGTGAAATACAGTATAATGGTAAAGAACTTTATGAGTATCTTATTGGGCGGGATGACAGGTACAAAACTGAGTTGACGGGAACAACTGAATTGATGGGTAACAGAAAATGAAACAACAGCACTCTGAGGTGACATATACCAGAAAATGAGATGACGAGGACCAAAAAGGGGAAAATACATGTACTGAGATTAAGATACGACACAACTTTTTTAACTTATGCCACAAGTGGCAACGGTTTCAAACGTCATGATGACATCTTTTTAATAATTGAGTTTGCCTTCAATGAAAACTAAGCGACAGGTACAGGTACTGAGATGACCTAGGTAACATGTATTGAGTACTGGTGTATGTTGAACTGACTTGATGGGCAGCATACAGTAGGTATTTTCAAGAAAAGTATTCAGTTGACGGCAGAATAGTTGCTGGCCTTAAAGTGATCTGATTGGCGGAATCACATTCCAGCCTATGCCTTCCCATACATGTACCTCATAAATGTGGGGCTGATTTTTCAAATCCAATCTCCACAATTTTACAATCGGGATTCGGGGTACCAGATACTATTCTCTTACTTTGGTCCAAAGCCTTCTCTATATTCCGGCTTTGAGGAGGAAGATTGAGCTGCCTAGTATTATAAATATTGTAAATCATTGTGTCACACGCACAGTAAATATGGCATAATAATATGAAATATACCTTTATGTATAGATTTGAAGAACATCAGCTCACACCCCCGTCTGAATCTATTGTTATATTTGATTTCTTTAAGCGAGAATAATTTCAAATGTTATTCACGTCCAGAACCGGAAGCCATTTTTAGCTACAGCGAGAAAATTTCACCATGTGTCAAACTCCGAAATGAAATTTTGAAATATCTAAATCCAGACAAGCAACGCTTCATCCTAAATATGATTAATATTCTTAAAAATATTTATAAAATTTATTAAAAATGAGTTCTAGGTGCGTGTAGGTGCGTGTAGCACAGTACATACGAAATCAATGAAGTTTCGTCTAGCTGTAAGCTAGAGACTCGAGTAACTATTCTCGATTCCGGAATCAGGACATTGATACTTCCCCGATGGTAAAATTGTGGAGATTGATCAATCAATTGACTTACCCATGGACTTTTGTGATTTTGCCATGCATACTCCGGTATCCCATTGCTGACCCACTGCCATGATCTATCTCTTGAATGATAGCGTCAGCAACTGTGCCAATGGCAGTTTTATCGAATTTTCTTGAGAGCCCCATCTTCTTTAAATCCCTCTTGATCTGTCTCTCCGAAAGTGTAATTCCATGACGGAACTTTAACAACATGCCGATCTCCTTGTACGTAAAACCGTCTTCAAAGTATGTGGCTATACATTCATCTCGATCTGACTCCATTTCTTCTTCGATTATAAGTCATGACACGCCGCATCTAGATTCTACAAAATCTCCTTTACAGAAGACTTTTGTAAAATTAAAATACTTATGCATTTTCAATATTAGTTTTGTAAAATTATTTTTTATTTTGCAAAATTATTTTTATAATCCCAAGTAAAAAGAAATGGCAATTCTCATGTAATAATTGGTTAACTTTGGTCTAATAATTATGCATTTTGATAAAAGTTAACCTATTTGTTAAATGAGCATTAAATCAATGAAAGTTGAATGCCAATAAATAGCTATTTATTACACCTATTTATTATTCTAACAACTATGTTATAATGCTCTTTGAATAATTGGGTAACTTTTTGTCATCCTTGCTACCCTAGGGGATAAAAATTAGCTATTTGTTAAGATTGGACTTAAAAAAATGTGGCAGTGAGTATTAGCAAAATATTAACTTTCCCGCTCATTTTAAACCAAAAGAAAAATGGCTGACAAAGAATGTTCAACTGTAAGAGATTTGGGTAATTTTATGATTTTATAATAATAGTATGAAAATGACCAATCAAATATAGATTCAGAAGTTACTGACATACTTGAACATTCTGCATGTCTACTTTGTGAGAGGTAAAATGTAAGTATTGCTGTTTTATTCCAGTTTAGATGGTCAAATCTTCTTTTCTTTCTGAATTTATAAAGGCTAAATTTTAATTCTATTCATACAGTCAAAGTGGTCAAGCATAAATGTGTTGTGTATGACTAATTGTACCATGCAGTAAAAATATAAGGTATTTTATAAAGATTATGAAGATAAATACTGCTGGAGGCCTAGAGGGTCCTTCAATTACTGTGAGCCTTCTTGCCTTCAGGACAATTCTGATCGATGGGTAAAATTACCAGTGATGTCCCATAATAATTGCTTACTGTACGCCCGGTATTATTCGCGAGCTTTAATTTCGCGAAATTTGCGAAAACACGGTTTCGCGGCTATTAAATTTCGCGAACTGTCCATTCGGAGATTTTGAAGTGTTTAGCAGCGCTTGAATTGCCATTCAGTAATGCGTGCCAGGCTATGTTTGCCCTTTCTGCATCGTTATACACCTTATATGTCCCGCGTTTGGAATTGGACTTCATGTTATCTTTTGCAATTTGCACTTCATTTGCAATGATGTCATCGATATCATTATTGGGCCTACTGCTGGTACTGGGCCGAATCAGCCAACGTAAAATTTTTCGCGATTTTAACACCATCGCGAAAAGCGCAAAAGTTAATCGCACGCGAATAATACTGGGCGTACAGTATATCATCTTACATACCCAGGGCCAACCTAAAATGAACAATTTGCTTGAGATTTCCAAAAATTGTGGTACTTTTACGGGAGATTTTTACAAAATCTGGAAGTTTTTTAAAAAATTGTTAGTTTTCGCCGTAGATTTTAAAAAATTGGGAGTTTTTGAGGTGAAATAACTGGAGTTTTTACGGTAGATTTGAAATAAACCGGTACTTTTTTTTATAAAAGCGGATTATCTCCAGTTTTTTTTCTAATAAACGCAATAGTTTTTGCGGTAAATTCTGCAAAAAGTGGTACTTTTGTGGGAGATTTTTGACAAAATCTGTATAGTTTTTGCAAGAGAATTTGCAATGAATTAATTTATACGCTTTGCATGGCCAGATTTGAATATTCACGCGAATTACATATACGTCACATATTTACTTCGAATTTGTGTGTCCCTACCCATTTTGTAGACCATAATGCATCTTGGGTAAGAGTAATGCAACAAATAGGTTTTAAATAGCTAATAATTAGGTAATACTCTGTTAATTCTTAGCTAACGAATACCTAAAAAATTTATCATGCAAATTAGAGAATATTACCACAATAAATATGTACAATATTTAGGTAATATTCTGTTAACATATAGCTTATTATTGGAAGATAATAAATACATGATTATTAGATTTCTAATTTTACCTTATTGTTACAATGTAATTTTCATTTGATAATCAGTCAATATTCTACATGAGCGTTGAATGTTAACAATACCTTATTATTAACACCTATTTATTAACGTAATTCTCTCTAATTTGCATGATAAATTTTTTAGGTATTTGTTAGCTAAGAATTAATAGAGTATTACCTATTTATTGTCAATATTTTCCCATTGACTTTTTTCACTTGGGATTCTATACTTTTGGAAAATTATTTTGAAAATAATATTTTGAATTGCAAAAGTCCCATCGTATTTTATAAAACTATTTTTAAAATCTGTAAACTAATTTGATTTCTTTAAAGTAATCTAGGTATTTTTCCATAAATATTTTGAAATTGAAAAATGAATTTCGAAATTACAAAAATCAAATCCTGTTTCATTCAAGTTTTTAGATTTTAGATAAGTATTTTGTGAATTTTTATAAGTTTTTTAGATTTAAAACAGAAAAATCGATTTTTCATTTAATATTTTGATATATTACAAAACTAAAATTGTGTTTTATTAAAGTTTTTAGATTTTATATAAGTACTTTGTGAATTTTTATAAGTTTTTTTGAGATTTGAAAAATTAAAATTGATTTTTTTTTAATTTGAAAAATATGTCCCTTTTAAAGCTTCGAGTATCAAAATGATTATAATGTTCATCATTATTATCGGGTCTTTACTTTAATACAAAAATGAACAGCTAAAATGACTTAAATGTTACTAAAAACA